GTTGGATTTTGCTTGACGCGCGTGCGCTTCGCTCGCATCCTCTCACCACTCCATCCACACCCCCCCGACCAATAGGGTCCCCCGGGGAACACCCCAACCGAACCCACCCCCGCACCCCCGGGCACCCGCCCTACCGCGCCCCGCGCCATCCCAGACGGGTGCATCTACTGTCAGGGGGGCCACGTCCGGGCGGGGGTAAGGGGGGGTCTTCTGTAATACTTTTACCAAGAAAGATACATTTAAAATAAAATAAAATGCAGACCCTGTGACCCAGGATTTCCACTACTATGGATCGCTCCTTTAAAAATAATCTCAGGCACATGTCAAGATATATGCACGAGAATGTACAAGAAAGCACTGCAGAGTGATATGTAACAACAAAAGACCGAAGCAACTTAAATGTTTATCAACAGGCAGGGGAACTGATTAAATACATTTTGACATAATCTTATACTGGGATATTATGCAGTTATTAAAAGAATAAGCTAGTGACTTGGAGAGATATCCAGTAAATGAGTTGTAGACTAATATTTTTTATGTGATTATATTTTCATTAAAATATTTATATATAAAGTCATACACAGCCATTCTATGAATACATTTTAAAAGCAGGAAAGAATTTATTCTAAATAGTTAATAGTGTTTTTGTTATGGGGAATAGGAGTCTAGAGCTAAAGGGAGGGATTCTTCCTTCTTGATTTATCAACTTTTGTAAATTGTGATAATGTGGGTTATTTTTATGGCTTTCAAGATTTGTATTTTTTAAAAGTGCCTATGTGTACTCAAATGACAGCCTATGGGAAGGGTGGTGGTTGAACGGGATGGCATGTGGGAGAGATCTTTTGGCTCCTTTCAACCAAGTAACCTTGGATTTGTCTGTTATGTTTATTGGGCCACCTCAATAAACAAATAGGGGATAAACACACACACATACACTCACACACACAACACATTTTAAAAAAATTTCTGGCTTGTCAGTTCCTTTCTGCAACAGGACCTCAGATACTTTATCCCCAGGTTAAACCAGGCCACAGGACAGCATTTTGGGTTAGGAAGCCTCTTAGCACACAGTAGATTAACCCCCAGTGTAGCTGCTCTCTCTGCTCTGAGGTGGCTTAGCCTGTTGTGAAAATAAGAAGGGAATTCCCACACCAAGGCAAGCTGGGGACTCACCTTCCCACACTGGTATTGCACCCAGAGGTAGCTGCCCTGGGTGGGGCACAGGTCTCCAGAGAAGGTCCCATGTGCATGCCTGCAGCCCCTGGCACTGTCCTGGGGAGCACCCGAATCCCAGCAGAAGCAGAAACAGTGTGAAGGACATAAAGGGATAGGGTTCAGACAGATGAATAACCTCGCGTTCATTCATTCACCCGCCATCCGCCCAACAAATACCAGTTGGTGTCTACTGGAGACCAGGCACTGTGCTAGGTACTGGGGGAGAGAGAAGTAGGGTTCCTATCCCCAAGTAGTTCAGAGTTCATCCTAGTGGCTCTCAAACTGTGGATTGTGCTGGAATTCCCTGGAGGGCTTGTGACTCAATACATGTGGAGGGCAGCTTGAGAATTTTCTTCTAACAAGCTCCCAGGTAATGTTAACACTGCTGGCCCAGGAACCCCACTTTGAGAACCACTGGTCCAGTGGCATCTAGTCAAATGGCCTAAAGCGAATCATTCCCAGGGGGCAAAGGCAGCTCAGAAGCAGATTTAATCTAATTTTGAAAAACAGGTCCTAGAGAAATTCTCCCACGTGAACAAGAGATGCCAGCAGAAACATTCATTTAGCATTATTCACAATACCAAGGATTAAGACCCAACCCATACACTCTTAACAGAGGAAGAGACAAATTCTGGCACATACAATAGATGAAACAGATAAGCTAACACAGCATGTATCAAGATGGATAATACTTTGAGCAAAAAATAAAATAAAGAAGGAAAAGAGAAAAAAAGCACATCGCAGAATGACATACAATATGATACAATTTTTATGAACACTAAAAACCTGCAAAGCAATACTATATATTGCTTAGGGTTGCATACATAGAAGGCAGCAATACAAAACCACCCATGCAATTAACAAGCGCTGACTTTATGACAGGAGCAGACCAGGGCTTCAACAGGAGGGCTTCAACAGGAGTGTCGGCTGTATATCCAATGCTGTGTTTGATTCCTTCGTGAGGGAATTTTAAGCAAATATGATTTGACAATGTTGGGTAGTGGGTCTGTGGGAGTTCAATGAAGTATTTTTTATTCTTGTCTATCTATTTCAAGTATTTAAAATTGTTTTAAATTAAGTTAAAAAAAGAAAGTGATGTTTCTTGCATCCAAGTTGGGTGGGGAGCAAAAGTGAAGGGGTGAGCTGTAGCTCCCTTGCTTCCCAGCTCAGTGCTGTGGCGGAGACTGGCTAGTTTTCCCAATGTTGGAGGCTCAAGGTCATATGTGAGGATTAGTGGAGCCTTCCAGAACCTGTTGCTGGGCGCAGGACACCAGGAACTGCCCTGAGCTCACAGCCAGAGCTGTGGAGCCCTTGGGCCCTACCTGACACCTCGTCCTTGACGCTGACCCAGCTGCATTCCTCCTCCAGGTCCAAGGGGCTCCCAGCGTCCTGGGTGCAATAATGGCGAGTCTGGCGCCCGTAGAAAGCATCCCGGATCTGAATGACCTCCCCGGAGCCACAGTGCATGGTGACATCATGGCCCTCGCAGGCCAGACTCTGGCTGACACCTGTACAAAGGTAAGGTGATACATAGGAGGCTTATGGTCATGGGTGGGCAAGTGCCTGGTTGATGGGAAGTGGAATAGTCTCAGGGGTCAGGACTGTGAGATGCAAGGACACAGCAGAAGCAGACTCAGCAGGGATGAGAGTAACTCTGGAGCCAGACTGCCCAAGAGCAGATCCAGCCTAGCTACCCAGTGGCTGTGTGACCTCTGCAAATTACTTAGCTTCTCTGTGCCTCCTTTGTATAGGGGGAGTCTACCCCATACTCCATATGGTCATTAGGAGGATTAAATGAGTTTGTACACTCAGAATATGGGCTATTCAAGTAGCAATTATTATTCTACCTATTTCAAGTACCTTCCTTGAGCCTTATTTGAAAACAATGCCCGGTACATGATAGATGCCAAACAAGCTTCTGTTGAATGAATGAGTGATTTCAATGAGTCTTTATACCAATCCTATAAGCTGAGCTATTATTCTCCCCATTAGGAACATGGGGCTCAGTGGGGTCACTGTGCCAAGAGCCCCACACCAACCCTGCTTCCTGGCACCTGCTCAGTAAACATTTGTTGCAAAAGAATGACCTGGCTCAGGTGTGCACAGCCAGAAAGTGGGAAATGCTGAATTCACACTCAGGCCTGTTTGCCTGGTGGGAAGTCCACAGAGTAGGAGAGACCAAATCTGTGTTCATTTTCTTATGGCTGCTTGTAACAAATTGTCACAAATTTATAATATTATAGTTATGAAGGTCAGAAGTCCACAAATGAGTATCACTGCACTGATATCAAGGTTCTTTCTGAAGGCTCTAGGGGAGAATCTGTTTCCTGCCTTGTCCAGCTTATACAGGCTGTCAGCATTCCTTGGATTGTGGCCCCCTCTTCCATCTCCAAAGCGTGCGTCTCTCTCTCTCTCTCTCTCTCTCTCTCTCTCTCTCTCTCTCTCTTTCTCCTCTCTCTCTCCCTCTCCCTCTCTTTCTCTCTCCCTCCCTCTCTCTCTCTTTCTCTCTCCATAGGCAAAACTGCTTTAGGTCTCATCTCTGTCACTTCCCAGCTCTCTGGCCTTGGACAAGGAACTTAGCCTTTCTGACTCTCACTTATTTTAGCTTTATAACAGGCCTATAATAGAATGGTGGACGGACTTCTATTATGGTGAAGAAATGTACATGGAGTGTCTGGCTCAGTGCTGGAACTTTTGCTTGATACTCATTAGTTCTTCATAGTGTGACCTCATGCCAGGGCTCCAAGACCCTGGGGCTGACAGAGTCTGAGAGACAGGCTTGAAGTTGGGGTGGTGGAGGGGACAGGGACTTGGGGAGGCTGTGATAGAAAGAGGCAAGTTGCATAATGCACAGACCAGGGAGGACTTCACAGGAGCTTCCACCTTTTCAGAAGTAGTCAGGCAGGGCAAAGTGCATCTATTTAAAACTAGGGGAGAAGAAGAATGGAGCAGGAGCTCCTGTGAATGTTCAACCCAGGACAGGGCCTGGGAACCAGGGGCTTAGAGCCAGGGAGGGGGCTGGACCCAGGAAGCCCAGAAGGTTCTATCAAGCCTGGCTTGTGGGTCAGGGGACCAGGAGGCTCAGCTCTAAGGCCAGGCCCCAATCCCAGTCCCCACCTGGTGGGTAGGACCTGGTATGTGGCTACATCCCATTCCGGCAGGGTCTCTTATACACAGTCCCCAGCATCTACATTGGGAGTCGGGCATGGGTAGCAGCTAGAAAGGGCACAAGAGAAGAACAGTTGGGAGCTGGTGGGATGTGGGCATGGGGGGCTCAGACTCAGGCTGGCCAGGGAGCAGGAGTTAAGGGTGAGTGGGCATTTCCCCCTAGATGCAGATATATGAGGAAGAAAGACAGAGAGAGACAAGCAAGACTAATAGGCAGGTAAATGGACAGGGAGAGCAAGGATATGAGCTAGGGAGATGGAGGGACACTCAGAGAGACTGGGCACATAGACAGAGGCAGGTGGGCATTTAGAGAGAAACAGAGATAGAAACAGAGAGACAGATAGAGACAGAGAGACATGAAGCATCACACAGAGACAAGTGGGCATTTAGAGAGACACTCAGAGAGACAGAGATAGAAGTAGAGAGACACACAGGAAAACAAGGAAACAGAGACAGGAAGAGACGGGGCAAAGGAAGTAGACTCTACAACAGAGGCTCACCAAACTCGCAGATGAAGGCGAACAGCTGTGCGCAGTTGTCTGAGGCAGCCCACCTGGCAGAAGGGTCTCTCCCGATGTAGCCGCAGGTGTCGGGAGCAGGAGAGGCCTGCCCTCCGTGCCAGTGGCTATAGTTCACATTTGAGGTGTCCAGCCAGACCCCCGGTCCTGGGAGGGAACACAACCACCAGGACTTTTTCTGATCCGTTTTATGTACAAGGCTTGTCCCAGCTCAGCTCCTTGTGAGCAGCAGGTGCTCAATCAGTGCTGAAGGCCTCTCCCATGCCAGCAATGGAGCATTTCCTACCCATGATCTTTCAACACTCAAACACAAGAACTCGACCTAAACACCGGGAACCCAAGTTGGAGAGCCTGTAGAAGTTGGCTTGACTAAATAAATGATGCTTTCAGCTCTATCTAACCGTAACCTAAAGAAGAGCACAGAGTGTGCCCTGGGGAGTTAAAAGGTATTTCACATAGAAATGGGGCCCTTGACAAATAGAAATGGGCAATGCTGAGCTACAGCAGACACAGTTTTCCTTACTTCAGGACTCTTCAGAGCCTTGAACCCAAGGATGTTACGTGTGTGTGTGTGTGTGTGTGTGTGTGAGAGAGAGAGAGAGAGAGGGAGAGAGCGCAACAGAGAGAGACAGAGGGAAGGAGGGAGATACAGAGGCATTTCAAGGATACTAGAGATCTAGAAAACACTAGATATAAAATATTTGCTGTAAAGACTCAAAAATGTATTTATTAATTTTTAAAAATATGTATATTTTTTATTTCGGAGAGGAAGGGAGGTAGGGAGAGAGAGAGAGACATCAATGAGAGAGAATCATTGATCGGCTGCCTTCTGCATGCCACCTACTGGGGATTGAGTCTGCAACCTGGACACGTGCCCTTACCCAGAATTGAACCAGTGACCTCCTGGTTCATAAGCCAGTGCTCAACCACTGAGCTATGCTGGCTGGGCTATTTATTAATTTTTTAAAGAAAAGAAATCCATACAAATGGTTAAAAAATTTTTAAAGAGTAAAAAGAGAATGAAATGAAAGCATCTTCCCTTTCCCAACCTATGAACCACTCCCATTATTGTTGTTTCTTGCGTGTTGTTCCACGTTGCATTTTATCTATGTAGCAGCACTCGTCAGTACCTGAATCTATTTACACAAATGCCATCATATTGCTCAGAGCACCGTCTCTTGCCTCTCAAATAACATTACTTATTGGAAGCTGTTACATATCAGCCTACTCAGATCTACTTCATTTTTTGTAAAGCCATGCAGTATCCCCTGAATATTTTAAATAGACCCGACTCCTTTAAATGCATATGAATGGAAATTCACAAATTGCTGCATCTACAAAGCAAAAAACCATTCAAGAGATATTGGCTGAAGACACATTGTAGAAATTGCATCCCTTTGGCTGTGAGCTTCCTCAAATGAGCTTCCCATCTGCCCCTTTATTAAAGCATTTCCATCCACTCTGGTATATTTCTCTAGGTACTTAGCACAGACCAAGTTTTTCTTTTCTAAAACCCAGTATCTTCCACAGAGCAGTTTGAGATGACGGGACACTGGCTCAAGACCTCACTGCCCTTCCCTAGATGTGTTTTCATGAGCAAGGCAGTTCCTCTCTCTGGACTTCATTTTCCTCACCCATAAAATAAGAGTAGCAAAGCCTACCTCATGGGGCCGGTGTAAGGATTAAATACGAAGGTTTATGTGTCCATTCTTGGATATGTATGGACACTGGGGGTGGGAGGGATTGGCCAGAATATGGTTCCTTCCCTTAAAGAGCTTATTGTCTATGGGGGAAGACACCTAAATAACAAAAGTCATGTCAAAAGGGTCCTACAGGTACATAGAGAAGGACTCAACTGGTTGTGCTGGGGTTGGAGGAAGGAGCCCTCCCAGAGAAAGGCTAAGTGAGAGTTCCTGGAAGAACCATTAACATGAGACTATCCCATGTGAACTGAACCACGCTAAGCACTTGACCTGCTTCAGTCTCATAGGGAGGAAGACATGTGGAAATGCTTTGAAAATAGCTTAGTAATTATTTCCCGAGGCTCAGTTTTCTCACCTGTAAAATAAAGACAGCAATAATAATTATATTATCAGTTATTGTGAGGATTCAACATGATAATGGACATGACGCACTCAGGATAGTGCTGGACACTATTCTAACAAGAACCAAAGAATTCATAGATATTATGAATATTAGGCATATGCAAAGCAATGCACGTCTCTGGTGTCAGCTCTGTGCCAGGCACTGTGCTAAATACTGTGCATGAATTATTTTATCCACAAAACAACCAAAGAGGAGGGTTTGCTTACTATGAGAATGGGGCATATTAATTTGTTTTATGGAGCTCTGGGTAGAAAGCAATGGGAGAATTGCAGCCACTAGCTCCCATAAAACATAGTATCACAGCACCTACCTTCTGCGGTTCCATTCTGAGCCGAGTTCCCTGTGAGTCCAATCCACCATTCCCTGTCCTGAGAGATGTGGTTTTGCAGAAACTGCTGGGTGCTTTCGTCGTGAATAAAGACCAAATGGCCTCCTCGCTCCTCACACCAGTTCTGGGCACCATAGAAAGAGTGGCCAAAAGGCACAAATTCATAGCAAGAGCCTCTGAAAGCCACTTGGTTCTTAGAGCAAACGCTGCTCTCCTCTGGCTTAGCGGGAGTGGCCATCAACCTCAGAGCAAGCCCCAGGAGGACCAAGCCTGCTGCGCTCATCCTTGAACCAGCTGGAGAGTCTGGATGGAGCTGGCTGTCAGTCCTTCATATGCTGTTGCCTTCACAGCCATCTGCCATCCATCTTCCTTTTCTCTTTGCATCAAATAATAGCGACCACCTCCTGTTTAAGAAACAATGACTCAGGATGAATGTGTCTGCTGTTTTGTTTTCCCCAGCTCTTTGTTTAATGCCAGTTCTAAATACAATGAATTTGCAGAATGTTCTTCTAGAGAAAGATAAAGCTGCTATCTCACCTGTCTTCTTGTCGTTTGCTCAGCTGTTAGCTTCCGATAAAAATTCCTGGCTATTGGTTTTATGTCGTCACCCTTAAAGGCCAAATGCTTCATTAGAAGCCATCAGCATGTGGGAAGGATGTGATACAAGAAAAATGGCAGGAAAGTTAGAGTTATGGGATTGTAAAAAAAACAGATTGCACTCATATCCAATCTTATTATCTAGAATAACTGCCGTACCTAAATGATAATCACATTTTCTCCAGCATGGCTTAAATCCTAATGGAGATTCCCCCTCACCCTCTCTGATTCATCACATTACCACTCATTGTCTGTTAGAGAATAAAAATTTCCTACAACATTAATTTGATGTTATTATGCAAATAAGCTTTAAAAACTTCTAACCTGCCCTGGCCGGTTTGGCTCAGTGGATGGAGCGTCGGCCTGTGGACTGAAGGGTCCCAGGTTCGATTCCGGCTAGGGGCATGTGCCTTGGTTGCGGGCACATCCCCAGTAAAAGGTGTGCAGGAGGCAGCTGATCGATGTTTCTCTCTCATCAATGTTTCTGGCTCTCTGTCCCTCTCCCTTCCTCTCTGTGAAAAATCAATAAAATATATTTAGAAAATAATAATTAAAAAAACAAAACAAAAAACTTCAAACCTATCCATCCTCATCCAGTGTTTAAACCCTCCGGTGGGTGTCATGGTCTGTGGATCAAGTTCAAACTTCTTTGCTTAGTATACAAGGCTCTCCATGAACTGGTAATTGACAATATTTCCAAACATATTCCCCAAAAGGCGGGGAACCAGGCTCTTTTACCCATTGCCAATGGAAGAATAAATTGGTACAACCTCTATTGTGAGCAGTGTTACAATATCTGTCAAAATTTAAGTCCCTCTCCCCAGCTGCTGGTAAGATGCTGGGTTCTTCCTACGAAGCTAAGGCCGAGTTGGGGTGAGGCCCTCACTCCATCCAGCAACTAGCACCCTGGCTAGCAGCACTCACCCAGCGCCCACCCACACCAGCTCAGACCTCATCCTGCAAAACGATGAGGTGATGGTCACAGAGGATAAGATCAGTGCCCTCATTAAAGTAGCTGGTGTAAAGGTTGAACCCTTCTGGTCCAGCTTGTTTGCAAAAACTCTATCCAACGTCAACATCAAGAGCCTCATCTGGAATGTAGGGGCTGGCAGACCTGCCCCAGTAGCTGGTGCTGTACCAGCCAATGGTCCTGCCCCCTCCACTGCTGCCCCACCTGAGGAGAAGAAAGTGGAGGCAAAGAAACAAGAATCTTTGGAGTCTGATGATGACACGGGCCTTGGTCTTTTTGACTAAACTTCTTTTGTAACGCGTTCAATAGAAAGTTGAACTCTGAAAACAAAATTAAAAAGCACAAGCGCTGTAATGTAGCAATTTCACTTCTAGGAATTTCACCTACAGATAAATCCATACATATGTGAAATGTACTATATATAAGATTATTTATTGCAGATTTTTTTAAGAAGGAAAAATTGAAAACAACCTAAATGTCCATTGATAGGAAATTGGTTTATCAAAATGTGGTACATCCTACATACCCATTAAAAAATGAACAAATTCATTGTATACAAATTTGGAAGGATATCTAATATTTTTGTTAATATTAAAAGCAAAGTATGAGACATTGTTGATGGTCTAATGCAGCGGTTCTCAACCTGTGGGTCACGACCCCTTTGGCGGTCGAACGACCCTTTCACAGGGGTCGCCTAAGACCATCCTGCATATCAGATATTTACATTACGATTCATAACAGTAGCAAAATTACAGTTATGAAGTAGCAACGAAAATAATTTTATGGTTGGGGGTTACAACATGAGGAACTGTTTTAAAGGGCCAGAAGGTTGAGAACCACTGGAATGCATTTACATAAAAACATATATGGTCCTAGCTGGTTTGGCTCAGTGGATAGAGTGTAGGCCTCCGGACCAAAGGGTCCCGGGTTCAATTCTGGTCAAGGGTTTGATTCCGGTCAAGGGCACATACCTCAGTTGTAGGCTCCTCCCTGGCCTGGACCCTGGTCGGGGCACATGCAGGAAGCAACCAATTGATGTATTTCTCTCACATCGATGTTTCTCTCTGTCTTTTCTCTCTTTTCCACTCTCCCTAAAAATCAATGGAAAAATATCCTCCACCCCATCCTCCACAAGCTCAAAGTCACAGCTCTTTCTATCTTCATCGATTGCTGGAGACCTTTCCTCACACTGTGTGCTCCTGTGCTGTCCCCTCGGCCAGGAGCCACTTTCTTCCTAGTCCTTCCCTGATCACCTTCAAGATTCAGCTCAAATCTCACTTCCTTTGTGAACTTTGTAGAACTTGCTTCATATAATATGCTTCTCTTCTCTGAATGTTTTTCTCTTTTTTCAATAAAAGCTTTACTAAGATATAATTCACATGCCATACAATTCACCCATTTAAACTATACAAGTCAATGTTTTATATTTTTTGTTTTTTTGTTAATCCTCACCCAAGGATATTTTTTCCATTGATTTTTTCTTTAGAGAGAGTGGAAGGGAGGGAGAGAGACAGGGAGAGAGAAACATTGATGTGAGAGAGTCACACCAATTGGTTGCCTCCCACATACACAAGGATTGAGCCTGCAACAGAATTATGTTGCCTTGACTGGAATCGAAACCTCGACCCTTCAGTCCATGGGATGATGCTCTAACCACTGAGCACCCGGCTAAGGCAAGTCGATGTTTTTTAGTATATTCATGAGGTTGTGTTAGAACATTTTCATCCCACCAAAAGGAAATATATTAGCATCTTCACCCCATTTCCTCCTTCCCCAAGCATCAGAGAACCACTCATCTACTTTCTGTCTCTGGATTTGCCTATTCCGGACATTTCATGTACGTGGCATCATCATACAATATGATGATGACCTTTTTGTGACCCACTTCTTTCACTTTAGCACAGTGTCTTCAAAGTTCATCCGATCTTGTAGCCTGTGTCAGTGCTTCATTCCTTTTTATGACTGGATAATATCCTATTATATGAGTAAACCACATTTTGTTCATCCATTCATCCATTGATGGACATTTGAGTTGTCTTATTCTGTGAATTTTTTGAGGGGAAAAAATAATGTCTCTTAAACTCTCTATCTATCCCATGGCTGGTACGTAGTAGGACTCAATGAACATTTGTCACCCAGGTCCCTGGGGCTGACTCTTGTCCCCCTTTGATTTCCCAGAAGCCCTTGCAAGCCCTCTGGAATATTCCTGCCAGACAGAGCCCAAGGCAGGATTCGATGTCATTGCTGACTCACAGGCTGGGCAGAATTGGTCTCTTATCTGTGGGAGCCAAGCTTCTAATGACTTCCATTAGAAAACTATGTGGAAGGCCTCACACAGAGATAATGTATCTTCTGGGTAAAGGCTTAATTTGTGCCGCTGGTGGAACGTGCTTGGAGACATTTGATAAGGAACACAATCTGCAGGCTAAATTCTATTTTCACATTCTTTACATTCTGATAAATTGCAGGCTCCTGGGCACAGAATCTGTCTTGATGATGTCAACTCCCAAAGTTCCTCAGCCTCTGTGTACATGAAGAAAGGAAGCAGGACATGGCTGGACATGTGTGAACGTATTTCCAACGATCTGAAGCAGCTGTCTGAGCCGCCAGATGCTGATTTTTGGGATCAGCAAATGAAAACAGAAAGAGAAGGAGTTTGGTTTAAATTGAATCATGAAAAGAACCATAAAGATGTTCATGCCCTGTGGCCCAGACACCCCAGTCCTGGGAATAGACCAATTTTAGTTTGGGTTCCCCCAAAAGCTAACTGAGACACGAATTCAAGCACCAGTAGGAAACAGTGGCAGGGGAGTGTGGAGTACATTGATCTATGTGAATTGGTGTTTTTATTTTATTTATTAAATCTTTATTGTTCAGATTATTACAGTTGTTCCTCCTTTTTCCCCCCATAGCTCCCCTCCACCGGGTTCCCACCCCACCCTCTGCCCTTACCCCCCCCCAATGTCCTCATCCATAGGTGTATGATTTTTGTCCAATCTCTTCCCACACCCGCACACCCCTTTCCCTCTGAGAATTGTCAGTCCACTCCCTTTCTATGCCCCTGATTCAATTCTATTCACCAGTTTATTCTGTTCATCAGATTTTTTATTCACTTGATTTTTAGATTCACTTGTTGATAGATATGTATTTGTTGTCACTTTGTTGTTCATAATTTTTATCTTTACATTTTTCTTCTTCTTCCTCTTCTTAAAGAATACCCTTCAGCATTTCATATAATACTGGTTTGGCAGTGATGAATTCCTTTAGCTTTTTCTTATCTGTGAAGCTCTTTATCTGACCTTCAATTCTGAATGATAGCTTTGCTGGGTAGAGTAATCTTGGTTGTAGGTTCTTGCTATTCATCACTTTGAATATTTCTTGCCACTCCCTTCTGGCCTGTATGGTTTCTGTTGAGAAATCAGCTGACAGTCGTATGGGTACTCCCTTGTAGGTAAGTAACTGTTTTTCTCTTGCTGCTTTTAAGATTCTCTCTTTGTCTTTTGCCCTTGGCATTTTAATTATGATGTGTCTTGGTGTGGTCCTTTTTGGATTCCTTTTGTTTGGGGTTCTCTGTGCTTCCTGGACTTGTAAGTCTATTTCTTTCACGGTAGGGGAAGTTTTCTGTCATTATTTCTTCAAATAGGTTTTCCATATCTTGCTCTCTCTCTTCTTCTGGCACCCCCATAATTCGGATGTTGGTACGCTTGAAGTTGTCC